GCAAGTCTGTTTAAGTTATACACATGAAGAGGTCTGATTTCCTTGCCGAATGAAAAACGTTACCTGTTTACCTGGCCTGCTTTCTAATACGTATTACGCAATACCCATGGTATACTCGAACAAAACAACATTTTCATTAGATCAAAAAGGTGTAAAAGAACAATTTTGTTCCCAAGGTCCACATCGAAATATTTACCGTTTTTGAGTTATAAAGCAAAAACTTTTAAGGCCCCAAGATCCCTAATCATAGGGGCCAGCCCCTTTTAAATAGTATAATATGAAAGCCCTTGCAATTATGCACAACTTTTGTTCTACATGTCTTAACAAAATATTTCTAGTTTTCAAGATATAAAGGAAAATATGTCAATTTTTTTGCTGTTTTCCGCGTTCTAACTTTTGACCCCTCTCTAGCGCCATTTTTAATGCAAAAATCAAATAACAAAAACCGATGTGCACAACTTCAATGCTTCCTCTTTTGAATTTCAAAGGGTTTTGTGCTCCAATTATAACCATTTCTGATCCTTTGTCTGGAAATCGGAGGCATGCAAAATTCAATCAAAGGGGAATAACTCGTGAACAGAAGGTAATTTCCGAATTGTATTACGGTATTCTGACAGTGTTTTGTAAAGTCTAAAAGCTCTGAAAATTTGAACAAAATCTGTTTAAAAATGAGGAAGATATGAAGCGTCAAAGTTGGCGTCTAGGAAAAAAAAAAAAGAATAATAAGAATAATCTTAATCGTCACAATCAGTAGAAGGTCTTCCGTTGGAAACGGAAGACCTTAATTAATTATACAAAATCAAATTGATCTTAATACCTTTATATCAAACTCATTTTAAAAAAAGGCTGGTTCCAGTAACTATGTATTTTGACAGACATAAATTACAATTAAGAGACTTAGACAACAGAGATCTTTATTTCTTTCTACCCAACTCCCAGGAGATATAGATAAGACCTGCTTGATCAGAGATGCCCTAACAGCTCCCCACACTGAACTCATTAATTAATAATTAACTGGATGCATGTCCACTCATTACTCCCAAGGGACAAATTGATTTACACTATCTGCCGTGTATTGTAAAAACCGTTTTTAATACTTTGTGATTTTTTTTTTACTTCTAATGAGTAGTTTTAAGCTGTAGTTCACATTTTTGTACAGATGATCTAGATTCTATGTCTCAAACCTTAGACATGAACCCGAAATGACTAAGTCAATAAAAATGAAAAAAAAAAACCTGTAAAATGCAGAAAAATTACCAAATAATGTTGAAAATACCAGATGCACATCTTCATATGGTAAATAATAAGTGTACAGATTTTCATACAAATCTATGCAATAGTCTCTGGGAACAGATCCGGACAAAACCGCATAATAAAAATGAAAAAACACCTGTAAAATGCAAAAAAAATTATCCAATCATGATGAAAATACCAGGTGCACACCTTCATATGGCAAAGAATAAGTGTACAAATTTTCAGACAAATCCTTGCAACAGTTTCCAAGAAATGGTCTGGACAAAATCTCGTCTACAGACAGACGGACAGACAGACAGACAAGCTGATTCCAATATCCCCCCTAAACTTCGTTTGCGGGGGGTATAAAAATTAAAACAAACTTAGTTCTGGTGAACAGTTTATTCTTTTTTCAACAGTGGTGTATCGGGATAGTTTTTAAACTTACTCTTGAAAGCAAAAGTAACCGGTCTCACCTTTACACATCTAGTGAATTCATCAAGTCATTTAGTGATGAAGTCCACTGGATGAGCTAAGGATGTGGGGTGGCTCGGAGACATTTGATTTCATGGCAACGGTAACTATTTCGTATCCGAGGCTTCTCAGCTGTTCACTCTGAAATTAAATTGTAATGTTTTTATGAAGTAATTGATCAGTGTGTATGCATGCTCAGGTGTTGTGCTAATTCATATGTATCTCTCTGGAGTTCAGCTGTAATCAATAGTTTGTCCTACAACAAAACATCTAGCTTTGCCAATTTTAACTTAAGTTGTGACAAATTCAAACCAGTTGAGCTTTTGTGTTTGGAAAAAGTTATGGCTTATAAAGATGACACACTAACGGACTTTTTCATCTGGAAGAAATGATGTTTTGATGCCTTGGCCTCTGAGCAGCATGAGTCTTATATGGTTTTCTTGGCGTCACACGGGGACGTCCTGAACGTGGTCGATCCAAAGTGTTGGCAAATTGTTGGAAACGTCTCCATAATGACCGGATAGTGTTTCTGTGAACATCAAATTGTCGTGCAATAATGTTCTGGGCCATCCCAGCCTGCAACATTCCAACAGCACGAAGACGTTGATTTTCATTTAGCCTTGGCAAAACACAATTACAGATTCTTATGATACCAAAGTGACTCTCTGAACAAATCCAGTCCATAAAATTGTCTCGCACTTTTTAACACAAAAATATATACCATTCGAGTTCAAGTCTATTGTCATTAATATCACTACCTGTATTGAGTATTAATCGTATATAACTATAAACAATATGCTCCGAGTTTTACGCCAACTTTTCCGATGCACAGTTTCTTTTTCCGTTAGTATATATATGAAACATACTTAGATTGCTGACAGGGTCATAGTCATCTTCAATATTGACATTTTCTATCCCTGCAATGTGCATGTTAATAAAAAAAAATAAAGTTAATGTGATATTCCCAAACTACGGCAGTTAATGAAGAATTCAATGATATAAATGATATATAAACTAATTATTGCTTTCTACAGAGTGAAGATATTTTTCAACAGATATTATTGTTTTTATTGCAGGTGGAGCCTGGTACACATGATCTTTCAAACTGTTGGAATGTCCAAGATTTTTATAAAACATTTTCCTGTCTGATGATTATACATTCGAGAGTGCATATGCAGTGGATGTGTAGTGTCTCATGTCTGTTGCATTAAAAAAACGTTATAATCTTGCCTTTTTGCAAATATTATTGACACAGCTCAATCCAGTTACATGAGTTATTGAATGTTTTACGCTAGGAAATGCAGACTTAATATTTTTGTGGGGTCAAATTTTCATTGTTGAGGGAAAAAGAAGGGATATGGAGGTTGACGTGTACTTAAACAACACTGAAATATCTTTGTTGTGACATTTAAATAATTTTTAGTCTTAATTTCTTTAATTTATTTTTAAGACTTTCACAATGTTAAAGGTCTAAATTAATTTTTTAACTCAACAGTGTTGTGATACTTACAGTCATCTCACCTTTTGACTGTAGGTTTAGTTTCTTGGAACTTTAACGTTTAAAAAAATATCTTATCCATAATTAACAGTAAACATAATTAATTAACATCAGAGGAAAAATCCTTAAACGTCTATTTGACGAGAACACAATATTGTACGACTTACTACATTGCTTATTTCCAAGCTATAATTAGTTCGTTCTGCATTTTAATTATATATATTTTATTTGCATTGAAAAAAAAAACAGACAAGCAAAATGCTTATATAACAAATAACATTCCAATAAAAACTTACAAAACGAAATTTACACGTTTCTTAAAGCACGATCACGCACGATTAAAACCGCAAACTATTGAGTCTGATACACGAACGATCACGCACGTCACACGAACGATTCTACACGATTAGTTTGTCAAAAATAACGTTGCAGCCACTGTAGCATAAAAAAGTTTATAGAAGTATGGTGTTAACAACAATGACCGAGGAACTCATGAATTTATTTCGTTAATGTACAACTCGAAATTTTTTTTTTGGTGTGTAGTAAGGAAGAGGGTTTCATGCCCCCGCAAGCCAGATAAATAATCTATTAAAAGATTATACCTTAGCTTTGCGCAGGAGCAATGATTCTCTTACATACCAAAGTCGTATCACTGGGTGTGCTTATGACAGAGAGGAACAACGTAAGTCAGGTTTAAATTTCAGTATTTTATATAACAAAAATTATTTAGATGAGTAAAGATGATAACAAAAATGTCAGGCGCGTATGCAGAATGGAAGTGAAATGTACGCAGAGAACGGCTGGAGTCCGCTTTAAGACCCCCAGTGGGTCCAGGGCGAAGCCCTGATGAGGGCCCAGGGGCGTAATTCCTAAAAGATCGTGGAATTTCCAAATATTTCATTCAAAATCATGCCATTTCGATTTTCATTTGAAAATACAAGACATAGTAATTGTACTGCCTTCCATGTCATTTTTAATTGAAAACATATAAACACGGATTACAGTCAGTTAACCAGGTTTTATTGTCACAAACAGTTCACATAGGGGCGCGGATCCTAATATGCGCAGGTGTCACTGTTTACAATAGGCGACGATATACAGTAGCTGTGTGAGTTGTGTGTGGGTGTGTGGATGGTAAAAAGCTATAATAAACAAATACAAATATACAAATACAAGCTACAAACAAAATCACTACAAAGACACAAAGTTTGAATGAACTCGATCAAGTTACATTCCTGACAAATTAGATACACAGATTTACTCGCTAAAAGTACACATGAACTTTTACAGAGGTATTTAATGTCGCTTTACATTAGCCTTAAAGTTGCAGCTTTAAAAACAATAAACTGAAAACTTGTAAAACTTACATTGTGATCGGCCACAGTTTCTCCGAGATTAGTAACGTCTGGACATGTATATTTCTGAGTCTTTTACAAGAATGAATTTTGTGAGTGAAAATACAGACTAAATAGTAAATCTACACAGGAAACAGCATAGTTTCATAATTAAAATAAATATCAAACTGTAGGCCCTCCCAAGTTAAATAAACAAAACGCAGCAGATTTTGACTTTAACATAAACAGCAGACAGGACTTTATGGTCAGTCAGCAAAATTCAAGCGTGAGAATATGATTATAAAAACAATTTGAACAATGAACAATGTATTTAGTCATACAGATATTGACACATTTGCGACTGTACCTAAAAATGCATAATCTGCAAATTTCTAAATAACAATGTACAGAATGTAAGACATTACACTCCCCGTCTGATATTTAACTCAAAAAAGATATCACTACTCATCACTAGAAATTAAAACTATCAATTCAGTTACTGGACGAATGTAAGTCACTGGTTTCTCGTGAGTCGAATGTTTTCCCGAAACGCGCACCTCGACCTTGCGCACTTTTTCGTCCACACTCGGGAAAACTTTCGTGACAAGTCCCATAGGCCACTCAGTGCGTTTCGATTGAGAGTCTTTGAAGAGCACTATATCGCCAATGGCTACATTCTTTCTGTTGTCCGACCATTTTTGACGCGACTGTAAACTTTGTAGGTAGCTTACGCGCCACTTCTTCCAGAAAACGTCTGCCAGGTATTGTACTCGTTTCCACTGCGATTTATATATGTCCTTAATTTCGAATGATACGTCTGGAGACAGAAGTACGTTTGGTTTTTGTGTTAGTAGCAAGGACGGACATAAAGGGAACGGATCCTCTGGATCTGATGACACGGCGGAAAGTGGTCTAGAGTTGATAATTGCGCAAACTTCTGCTAGGAAAGTTACGAGAACGTCATGGGTAAGGTCCCCGCAGTGTTGTAACATCATGGAATCTAGTATTCTTCTGGTGACACCAATCATTCTCTCCCACACTCCTCCCATATGAGATGAATGCGGGGCATTGAAGATCCATTGAACTTTGTTGTCATTTAGATACGTTTTCACTTGGGTATCTCCTACATTAAAGCAATCGAGCTTCAGCTCCTTTGCAGTTCCTACAAAATTTGTTCCACAGTCTGAGCGAATTATTTTAATTGGCCCTCTAATCGCAATGAATCGTTTTAAAGCATTGATGAAAGAAGTGGAACTTAAATCTTCAACTACTTCCAGATGGACGCCTCGTGTTGTTAAGCAAGTGAAGATAATGGCCCAGCGTTTTGAGTTTGCTGCTCCACCACGAGTCTTTCTTGTTACGATAGACCAAGGCCCAAAGGTGTCAATACCAACATTGGTAAACGGTGGTCCAGGAGTGATTCGATCTTCTGGCAAACCTGCCATCTTCTGATGCTCGTTCTGCCCCCGTAGTTTTCGGCATATAACGCACTTTTGGAGAACTGACGATACTAGTCGCTTCTCACCTATTACCCAATAGCCAGCTGATCGTATGGCACCAGAGGTAAAGTGTCTACCCTGATGTTTTATTTTCTCATGAAAATGTCGAATGAGCAATAATGCTACATGGTGTTTCCCTGGAATTATAACTGGATGTCGTTCATCAGCTGGTATTTTTGCATGACGAAGTCTCCCACCTACCCGCATCAATCCATATTCGTCGATGAATGGGTCGAAATTTGCAATTTTGCTTTCTTTTGGCAACTTCTTGTGTAAGCTGATGCATTCAATGTCTTCAGGGAACATCTTACTTTGGACTTCCTTGATGATTAGGTTTTCTGCCTCCTTTCCGGTTTGAAGACAGTCTTTCTCTGGGAGATTGTTTTTGGCGCTAAGAAATCGTTTAACATAAGCAATAGCGTTCACAAGTCTCTTCCAGCATGAAAACCGTTCAAAACGTTGTGTTCCAAGCAAAGATTCCTTTAATGCTATTGACTTAGCACAAGTTATTTCGGGTCGAATTTCTTTATTCTCCTCTGGATTTTGAAGTTCAAATCTCTGCCCATTTGGCTCTTCTCTGAATAGATGTTTAGGACCCAACAACCAGGAACATTGCTGCAAATCCGATGATGAAATAGATCTGGTAGCTAAGTCCGCTGGATTTTTGTCTGTGGGAATATAGGTCCATTGTGTCGAATGAGATAATTGACGGATTTTTGCCACTCTGTTACTGACGTAAGTGTAGAATCTACGTTTCTCATTGCAAATGTATCCAAGAACCACCTTGCTGTCAGTATGGTACTGTATACTTTCAAGCGGAATGTCGAGATTATCAGATATTGTCTGACCAATTTCCGTGGCTAGCACAGCTGCGCATAACTCTAATCTTGGGATGGTGTGTCCATGGGTTGGTGCGACCTTGGCTTTTCCTAGGACAAATCCAACGCTTGAATGCCTGTCTGATGTTAAGTACGCAACAGCAGCGATAGCTTTTACTGATGCATCTGAGAAGATATGAAGTTTCTTATCTACCGTGTCACTAAATGACCTTGAAATGCACATTCGTGGGATAGTAACCTTCTCCAAATGGCGTAAAGAGGTTTTCCAAGTTTCCCATTCTTCATATTTAGACTCAGGTAAGATTTCATCCCAATCAACGTTTCCCGTTGTTAACTCTCTTAGTATAAGCTTGCCTCGAATAAGGACTGGTGCAAGGAAACCCAATGGGTCATACACACTATTGATTGTTGACAATATTCCTCGTCTGGTGTATGGTTTGATATCATTGGCGAGTTTAAAGGTAAAACTATCTGACGTAATGTCCCAGTTGAGTCCAAGACTTCTCTGGACAGGAAGCGAATCATTCGACAGGTCAAGGTCTTTTAAGTCCTTGGCTAGATCAGACGGCCCAAATGCTCTCATTACTTCTTCACAGTTTGAAGCAATTTTGTGTAGGCGGAGATTCCCAATCGTTTGTAGTGCGGACTGTGTCCTCTTCATTAGATCTATTGCCATGTCAGATGTTGGTAATGAAGTCAGTCCATCATCTACATAAAAGTCTCTGCAAACGAAATTTTTGACATCTTCACCATAATTTTCTCTGCTGATCTCGGCAGTTTTACGGAGTCCATAGGTAGCGATTGCTGGTGAAGGGCTGTTTCCAAACACATGTGCACACATGCGATATTCTATCAGTGGTTTGCTGAAGTCATTGTCCTCATACCAAAGGAAACGAAGAAAGTCCCTATGATTTTCATCTACTTTGAAACAGTAGAACATCTGTTGAATGTCCCCCATGATTGCTACTGCTTCGCGACGGAATCGAAGTAGAATTCCCAATAAACTATTAGTGAGGTCCGGGCCTGTAAGAAGTATGTCATTCAATGATACTCCTCCGTACTTAGCTGAAGAGTCGAATACGGCACGCAGTTGATTTGGCTTACGAGGATGGTAAACTCCAAATATTGGTAGATACCAGCGCTCACTCTCTTCTGGCATTTGTTGTGCTTTTTCGGCATGTGCATTGTCAAAGATACCGCTCATGAATTCAAAGAAGTGCTCTCTCTTCACATGATCACGACTCAGGCTTGACTCAAGAGTTTTGGCTCTCTTTATAGCTTGGGGTCTGTTATTAGGAATCTTGAAATTCCGATTGCGAAACGGGAGTGGTGCTGACCAGTTACCGTCTTCATTTTTGTGGAAGCCTTCATTCATAATCTTTAAGAATGTTCTATCGTCTGTGGATAGTCCAGGCTTGTCATCAGATTCCGTCTTTAGGAATAGATTGTTTCCGAGTTTGACAGGTTGGTGTAGATTTTCCTGCCGTATGGCAAACGAGTTGATACAGGGATTGAAGAGCGTAACGCGGCCATCATCTGTCAGATTAGTTTTCAAGACGTTAACAGCTTTTGGACGATGTACCTTACCAAGACAAGTTTCTCCTATAATTGTCCATCCAAGGGGCAATTTCTGCGCATATGGAGAGTTTGGCGGTCCTATTCGTTGATCAAGGACGTGATGGGCCTCAATCAGATCTCTGCCAATCAAAAGCATTATTTTTGCATCGGGATTCAAAGGAGGTATGTGTGATGCGATGTCCTGCAAGTGCGGATAGTATGAGGCGACATCAGGGGTTGGTATTTCGTTTCTAACATCTGGAATCTGGTCGCACTCAAGAGCGGGTGGTAGACGGAAGTTTTGTTTGCCGTCAATTGACTCAATCGTGACATTCTTTAATTTTCTACCTGAACAACGTGTTTGACCTGCACAGGTAGACAACAGGTACATTGATTCCTGAGTGCAATTCTCCTTAAAAAAGTCACAGAGAGATGGTGTTGCCAAAGACTGATTTGATTGGTCGTCAATCATAGCATAACAAATTGTCTCTTTAGATGGTTCACATTGTGAGTACATGCGAACTAACACTGTTTTCGCGCACGATTTGCCGGAGAATGAGTCCCCACATATTTGCGTACAGTATGGTTTCACTTCAGTGCTCTGTTGACCATTTATAAGATTGCGGTCTGCCTGCTCCCCGCCATGGGATGTCTGCCCTCTGTTTTGTTCTGGAATTACATGAAGAGCTGTGGGGTGATTTTTAGCTTTGCAAATGTCACACGAAACGACGGTGGAACAATTGGCTGCCATGTGAAAGCCTGCACAACATTTGAAGCATATTCCCTTGTCTTTAAGAATTTTTCTTCTTATGGCTATTGGCTTTGAGCGAAATGATCTACATGTGTTGAGTGGGTGCCCTGTGTTGTGTATAGGGCATACTGTTCCTGGTGAGCTTGAAACTTGTAGATCCGTTTTCCGTGCTGTTACCCGAAATCCAGGTTTCTCGGAAGGCTTCTGTCGAGAAGCAGCTGGGCTCACAGTTGATGCAGTTGACAATTCATACTGGAGTGCTGGATTGTTTCTTATTTTGCTTTGTTCTCGAACAAAGTCACAGAATGTCGTAAATGGCGGATGTAGTGTATGATGTCTTTTGTTGTACTGGGATGCTGCAGTCGTCCACTTTTCTTGCAGCATATATGGTAGTTTACAAACTATTGGGCCAATCCCGATAGATGTGTCAAAATACGAAAACATAGACCCGTACATGTCCTCTTCCTTCAAAGCTTCAATTTTTGCAAGGATGTCGGCGAGGTCATACAGTTTCTTAAAGTCTTTGTTGGTAAGTTTTGGAAAGGACGATAATTTATTTTTCAAAGCGCTGTCAATCATTTCTGGACTGCCGTATCTTTCATCCAAGCGTTCCCAGATTCGTTTAAGTCCTAGAGCCGGGTTTCGTGTATGGGCTGCACGCAGACTGAGAACGTACTTCTGAGATATACCTCCGGTATACTTCACAAGCATATCAATTTCCTCGGTGGCGGTTGCTCCGATTTCTTGGACAACATTCTTGAAACTCGATTTCCAAGACGGGTACATCTCTGCTTTATCTGTAAAACAACACAGACTAGATAACAGTAGGTCTTTCTTTAGTAAAAAACGAGTAAAGTCTGTTGCTAGTCCACGATTTTGGTCGACCGTAGCCTTGACTTGATCTTGAGATAGCGTATTTTGCAATGGCCTTACATTTTCACTCTGGAACGGTATGGGCTGCTGTACAAATGAATACGGGTGTCCTACCTGGCCTGGGTAAGAGGTCATGAATGTTGGTTGACCAGTAGCCACAGTTTGACGAGGAATGTATGGTACAGCGCGTGGATTTAAATGACCTTCAGTTGGGAGTTCATTAACATAATTCTCAGTTAGTTCCTTTTTCGGTACTGACGGAATATCTAATAGTTCCTTAGATTTCACTTCCTCTATTTCGAGTGTTTCTAAGGCTGCCTCTGTCGCGGCAACCTCACGTGTATGAACCAGAATTTCAAGGTCAGCTTCTAACACTGCGTTTTCTTTTTCCAAAGCAGCGTTCTGTACAGCTATTCGTTCTTTCATAGCTGCCTTCTGTCTCTTTAATTCAGCTTCCTTTTTAGCGTAGTCAGCACGCACACGAGCCTCTTCTGCCTTTGCCTTTTTCTGTGCGATGATTGAACTCAGGGACGATCTTGACGATTGCTGACTTATTGTTTCTAATTTATCAGATTCGGTCAGTTTTTGTAAAAGCTCCTTAATTTTTTGCAGCCTTTCCTCGACTGTGTGAATGTTACTCTGGTAAGATATTTCAAAACATTCTTTGTCCGTAATACTTTGCTCGGTGTTTGGTCTGTCAAGAAATTCCAGAAATTCTAACGCACTTACTTTGTATTCTTGAAATAAGTGATGGGCATCAGTTTGTATATTTTCCAGCGACGTTTTGTCACTTTGACATGCTTCAATGTCTTGTGTATAAGATACGAGACGACACCATATACTATTGATTTTTCCTTCATAGCGTTCCTTGTTACTTATATATAAAGAAAGTCCTTCTTCCGTCGGTGTCCTGATACGGGATTGTTCTTCACCCGAACTCATGATGGACGAATTATAGTGATCGGAGTCCGACGTCCGAAATCAAAGAGAGTATATCCGGTTGGCCACTTGTAATCTTTTTACTGTACTGCCTTCCATGTCATTTTTAATTGAAAACATATAAACACGGATTACAGTCAGTTAACCAGGTTTTATTGTCACAAACAGTTCACATAGGGGCGCGGATCCATATATGCGCAGGTGTCACTGTTTACAATAGGCGACGATATACAGTAGCTGTGTGAGTTGTGTGTGGATGGTAAAAAGCTATAATAAACAAATACAAATATACAAATACAAGCTACAAACAAAATCACTACAAAGACACAAAGTTTGAATGAACTCGATCAAGTTACATTCCTGACAAATTAGATACACAGATTTACTCGCTAAAAGTACACATGAACTTTTACAGAGGTATTTAATGTCGCTTTACATTAGCCTTAAAGTTGCAGCTTTAAAAACAATAAACTGAAAACTTGTAAAACTTAAATTGTGATCGGCCACAGTTTCTCCGAGATTAGTAACGTCTGGACATGTATATTTCTGAGTCTTTTACAAGAATGAATTTTGTGAGTGAAAATACAGACTAAATAGTAAATCTACACAGGAAACAGCATAGTTTCATAATTAAAATAAATATCAAACTGTAGGCCCTCCCAAGTTAAATAAACAAAACGCAGCAGATTTTGACTTTAACATAAACAGCAGACAGGACTTTATGGTCAGTCAGCAAAATTCAAGCGTGAAAATATGATTATAAAAACAATTTGAACAATGAACAACGTATTAAGTCATACAGATATTGACACATTTGCGACTGTACCTAAAAATGCATAATCTGCAAATTTCTAAATAACAATGCACAGAATGTAAGACATTACAGTAATATTGTTTTTAACACAAAGTTAAATACTTCCATGCAAATTTATTGTACATGTAGAGGCTGAATATTTTTTTAAAAGATATATTGGTATCATCTACTCTTTTTTAACTTTCAGCAACAAATATAATTAATTTATTTAATTTCAATTATTAACAAAAATAATGTCATATTTCAAATCATATTCTTTCAAAGGTTGACATTTTCTCGAAGATCTTTAAAATAATTATCAATGTGTTGTAGAAGAATTACAAATTAATGAATGTTTTATTTGGTTTTGGCAATGATTTAATAAAACATTACAATTTTTGTTTATAAAGACATGGTAATATAAAATTGGAATCAAAACAGTATAAGATAAAATAATTTGAAACACAAATATTTGCTGGGTGGGGCCAGAATCAAAAATACCTTTTGAGTCCCCTAACGCGGCCGACCCAATTAAATCCCGCCGACTGAAAAGGTTTTTTTAAGAAGATTATTCAAATATTTTTTTTTAAATGTTTATCAACTTTTATAAAGTACAATTTCATGAAAACCCATTCTTATCAGAAATTCAGAATGTATTTTCAAAGCTGCTGTCAGAAAAAAAAAATTATTTACCTACCTACCTACCCAACTTAAAATTTTAGGGTCGGGTTAGGGGAAACAAAGATATTTTTAATGATGGCCTGGTATTGATATTTTTTCTCTTCTCACAAATCTCTTATCCCCCCCTCCCCAATTTTTTTTTTTTATTTGAAAACGATGTGTACACACCTGCGTATTTGAGTATAGGCAGCTACGCGCCTTAATGTTAACAAGATGCAATAACAAAAATGAAGGAAAAATATGGATAATGTACACAAAATTGAGAAGAGAAACTCTCAGAAAGGAAAAATTGTACTATATGAAATATTTATGTAGAAATATTCTCAAAATATGAATACTTTATCAAAAAGCACCAAAATAAATTGGAAAATGTAAATATTTTCTAGGTATAAATTGTAATAAATAATTTCTCGGTTCTCCTTAAGTCAAGTTTTAGTGGAAAAATGTTCCAAAATATCTAAATAATTTTTAGAAGAAAGGTAATTCAAAAATATTTATTTCAACTAAGAAATTTAATTAATTTCAAAAAATAAACTTTTTAAGAAAGAAATTCCGAATAAGTCAGTGACTCAGTTATCAAAATACACTGTGAAGTGAAAGTAGCAGAAAAAGAGTTAGGTGCTGAAGCAGTACCTGCACGGAGTGTTCTGCCGGACAACTTCAATGAGAAAAGGACAAGTACATTATTGAACAATAGAAAATCAATGAATCGGTAAGTTTATATCAAACAGAACTATTAGATTCACATAACGCCAATTAGCCAATGAGAGCGGACTTTACAAAGGTACGTGAACACACAATACAGGAAGTTACGTAGAATGTTTACAAATGGAGAACCGGCAACATGTGTTTGACTTCGGGTTGTGTTTAAAGTTAAATATGTTAAAATAGCACCAACATAATGAGGTAAAAACTCTTAACAAGATGAAAAGGTAAGCAATTTTGCTGTAAACAAAACCAGTTTTCCTACAGGTGAATATACAGGTAAACTTCAGTGTGAAGAACACATTTATCATAATAGGGATATTTTTGTAATTTCGTTAGTTTTTAAATTAATAAAGATAAGAATAATAATGCATAATGTTTTTGTAATTGGATACGGAGGTTATTTCACGAGTGAGACAGATCTGAACAAATAACTTAAATATAGCATCATTAAAGTAATTTCATTGATAACATGTTGAATGTACAATAATTTTCTGTTTTTTAAATTAGTGATAATATACCCTATAAATACTTAGGGACGAATTACTCTCGAAAAAAAAATGAAGCGGGGTTTTGGAAGTAGCATGTTTAGATGCTTTATTGAACTGTTGAATGAAGATGGGACTTTTCTAAATCGCTGTCGCTGTCTAAAGCTTCGATTCGTTTATATTTTTTTGATAGGAGGATTGTCGTTTGCGCCATGTTGGTGGATTGACATGCACGATGTGTCGGCCATGTTGTTACCGTACGGAATGTAAAAGATAACTTGTCGCGAGAAACTGTTTGCATGGATCTCATATCCGAATCAATGTGGGACTGACATTTGAGATCGTGTGATTTTGGGTCTGGGTAATGATCTAAGGCGCGGAATAATGTTCGTTGTTAATAGACAATGTTGTGGGTTTATCAGCTGATGTTAGAATAGTCAAAATTTTCCTGTTTTAATCGTTGTTTATTTTGCTGTAGATGTTAGTGCTGTTTATATTTTTTGTCCCAGATATTTGGGTAATCTTGTTGGCTGGAACTTCGGCATCTGATAGCCTATGTTTCCTTATACTACCTAAATAAAATATCATAATTGGGTTTTTTTTCTCATTAGTTGTAAGAAATTTTTCAACATCATAATAGACCTCAGGAAAGCGCTTGCTTTGGGAAACTTGATTTCAAGCTGGAGAGAGCTTAACAGAAAAATCTCCAATTATGTTATAACTGGTCCCTGATAATGTTTCCTCGTCCAATTCTTTTATGAATGCAACCGTCACGGTAGCTCAGGAGGTCATGAGCTCGAATGTCGGCCGCGACTGACCTAAGTATGAACCAACTGTTCTTTCGCCATGTGCTCGGCACTTTGAAGTGAAAGTTCCGGTCCTTCGGATGAGACCTTAACAACCGAGGCCCCGTGTAGCGGCAGGCGTTGGCACGATAAAGATCAAGTAAAGGTCAAAATTTGAAACCCTTCACCGGTATATGGTGACTTCCCTATATGAATGAACAATTTTCGAATGGGACGTAAAACAACATACAATCAATCAATCTATTTATGAATGCATTCAATTCGTTGCCTCTGTCCATTTCATTCCCTGTCATGCCATTTATATCTAACTCATTAAAAGTTTTGTCAATATAGTCATTTTGTTTTATTTTCATATAATATTGTTGAAACAGATGATAAAAAAGATCAGCCATTGGAGATGAGTTGATGATAGAAATTAGAGAAAGGGACCAAGGGACTTAACCTTCTAGTATCCAAATGCATTTAATACATCAGTAAAATTCTCATAATTATTAGAGTTACTTCATATCAATTAAAAATATTTCTGCACTTTTTTGTCATTTTTCTCTCCAAAGTAGGAGAAAAAACTGTTGTAGCATATATGCTACACCGGGAAGCCAATACATATGTTGTAAATATGATACATACAAATTGTTTACTTGAAATGATTTATTATTCTTAAAAAGTAAAACAAAATGATACAATGAAATATAATGTTAATATGTTCAATATGTAAAGGATTTCATTGACCTGACATGTAAAATTTGGCAAAAAGACCAAAGGTTGTTAAAATTGTAAGAAATAATTATGTATATAATAATGTAGTAAAAAAGTTCAGAAAAAAATAGCATTTTGACTAGATTTGTTTGGCATTTAAAGGTGAAAATTCACAAAGCAATTTCTGTCTTTGTTAACACAAAGACTTGCATCACATTTGAGTCATTTCACAAATGAGAACCTATCACAACCACTGAGTTTGCACCGCTGCCGTTTTGGTGGGACTTCATTTGTCAAACCGGCGTACGCTGAATGCGCCGCTCGACCTTTGGTAACCCGGCTTGTTGCTTCATTTGACTGGGGAAGGTACGCCGATCTGAAATGACCGGCGAGGAATTCGCCGGTCTTAGAGATAAAACAACTTATAAAATGCGGACACTTTTTACCAATTTGGTATATTTTTTGTTTGCATTTGTTGAACAAATGTCCATTCATATATTTAAAATCCGTTCTTATTTTCTAAAAATAATTTTTTTATGAGGCCCATGATTCTTTTAAACATTGAATTTCTAATTATCCAACCTTTTTTTCGCTAAGACATAACGTAAAAAGTGATAGATCTCAATTGATTGTTATATAGTATAACAAATTTTGGTTTTCGCCGGTTTACTTCATTTGCCAGTTAGCCGTTTTACGCCGATCACGTTACCGGCGCAATTCGGCGTACAAATGAAGTCGGCCTTTTGTCTCCCTGGTTGGCCAATAACCGACTTGATCGTTGCGTATTATTTCAGCAGGACTTTTGACTGTACGTTTTGGAAGAGGTGGGGGAGA